AACGTCTTACATGAAGAAACCTTACCTACGGTAAACACGTGGTTGCAGAGAAATGCGTTCTGAAAGAGGTTCCGTGGTTCGGAAGGATGGTGTTCTGTTGTTCTTAAAGGTTCTGAACAATACTGGTAAATAGGGAAGCTAGATAATGGGTCAGATGTTGAAAATAATAAAAGATCCAGGAAGAAAAGTGAAACGGATTTTATTCTAAATGGCGCAAATGAGAAATTTTTTTCAAAATGCGAGTAATTCGCGAATTTTGAAATTGGTTTATAAAATGCGCGAATTTCTCGCGGTAATCATTTTTTAATACGAGAATATAAAAAAATATGCGAGATTCTCGCGTTCTCGCGCTGTAGTGAAAACAATGCCTTTGCAGTCCTGTAACTAAGTACATAACAGCCTCCTCTGCATTTGAATATTGCTGTAAATCTGGCAACGAATAGCAGATGGATGAAGGGCTCTGCAAAAAAGAGACCTCTGCTTTACAACTCCACATTGTATTGTGAAAGTTGCTTGTTTACACAAGATCTTACATATGTGGCCATTAGTCCTTGCGAAGTTAAATATTAATCGAGCTTATGGCCAAAATGTATAGGCAAAGCGTAAATATTTACCTCAACTTAGTTCTAAATATAAGCAAATAACAGTTTTGAAGAGTGCTTGTTGCTCTTACACAAAGAAACAAGCAGACCTCATTACGCAACAGAAACAACTGAAATTTTAGAGAATTACTATTCATATCACTAATTAATCCCAACAGGTAAAAAAGTATAACAATTGAAAAATTATCTTGAATAATGAAATGAATAATGAATAGTAATTAAATTTTAAGTAAATAAGATTATATTACTATATAAAAATAAAACTATTTCTACTAACAAGAAAGTCTTAACTAACATGAGAAACCTTTCTTTTATTTTTCCCTAACAAGCCACATTAAAGCCGCGAACCCATGACCTTAATCACCTTCAATCTATTGGTTTAAAGTTTTATTTCATTAGTTTTTACACATTTTGGAAAGGGCATAATAGAAAATTTTCAACAGGGAGAAAATGTTTTAAAAAATTAATAATCTTATACCTGTAAAATTAACTAGAAAACTCCAAAATATCTCATTAATACATCATTTTAAGGTCCAGGATAACATAGGAAAAGATTCTAAAGGACAATTACTTTTACCGGAGTTGTAATAAAGCCAGCACTAAAATTTTTAATTTCATTAATATTTTAAAAAATTATTTAGAAAACGTAAGTGCAGAAGATAAACATCAGTATTACTTAAGTGATAAATAAGTAGTTAAAAATTTTAACAAAAAGTGAAAGATATGCAACAAGGAAGAAAAAAAAACAAAACAAAATTTTCACAGATTTAATTTTAATGCTATACTGAACAATCGTTTTGCTTGATTTACAAATTGTACTTAAACTGAAATAACTGATTTCTATAAATTTACACAATTCAAAATACAGATAAACAACAGGCATAACAAAACATTTTTGCATTCATCTACAAATTTGAAGTGGGGAAAAAAATAGGACAAATCTTTTTACATAAAGGTACACAAAATACAATTAAAAGGTTTATACAACATCCCTTTCGAATTTTTGACTAATATCAACTAGCTCCATCAGTAATTGTTTAAGCAGAAAGAGTTTAATTAAATAAGAATAACTTTTTTTTTCTTCTTTAAATAAGTTCAAGTTAAGCTATGTTACATTATATCAACCTACTGAATAATCAGGATATGATCTTAACAGGCAAATTAGTGATACAAATCGGTATTAAATAGTTAAATTGAAAAGATTTGTAGACAATAACATTGTTTTGCATTAAAAATGGTTTTGTACACAGCACTATTATTATACTAAATGCAAAGAAAATGAAATTCCGATAACTATTTATTATTCAATCTGCACTAATAATGTTACTTTAAAAATTGATAACCATTTCAAACTAGAAAGCTTTGAGTATTTTATACAAACCCATAAATCCAAAAAATAAATCTGACATTTTTTGTTGACGTTAAACAATTAAATCCAAAAAATACAATTTTTATTCAATTTTCTGAAGAAAAAAAAATCAAAATTGCCAATTATAAAATTAACTTAAGTCAGAAATTTAAATTACCCTAAAAGTTTTTGTTAAAAAAAACATTAAGTATTCAATTATTTTAGAAAAATTAGAGATATTTTTTAACGTCTGTAAGTTAGACTAAGGGTATATATATTTTTACATAGAAATGGGTAAATAAATAAATAATAATACAGGAATAAAATAATTTGAACAATTAGACTCAATTCATAGTTAAAATTTGAGACATTAAAATCTAAATTGTTTGAAAATTCATTTTAAGACTGATACCACTTGAAATAATTTAACAAAAAAATTCCTCAATTTGTATTAAATGATGAGCTTTATTTTTTATAATGTATGCTTTCACAAAGGCATTTGAAACTTTATGTTATCAGTAATTTAATTTGAAAAGGAAAAAAATTCTTTGAGATATTAATACAAAGAACTAAACATTCAAAATTGATATCAGAAATTTTAAAATTAATATTAAAATCTGCTAACTTTTAAAAACTATGTTAGATAAAATTAGTATAATTATAAAACAAAATATTTTAATTTTGTGCAGTCCTAAAAAAAATAAGAAAACTAGAGTGATAGAAACAATATGTTTCAACTCCCAAATTTTAAATTTACAACAAAATAAAAAACAGCAGACTGCTATAAAATAAATTAATCAATTTACACAAATAAGTTAAATTAAAAAAACTTACTGAACATAAAACTTTTTACATAAAAGTGTGTGTAACATAAATGTGCTACTTATTTCCTGACAAAACATACATTGTAATTAAAAATAATAATTTAGTACTGTTGGATTAATAGATTTTAGAATAACTGGAATTGTGGCTTCTAAATTTCTATTAAGCTTAATCACAATTCTTTTCAAATTNTTTCCTGACAAAACATACATTGTAATTAAAAATAATAATTTAGTACTGTTGGATTAATAGATTTTAGAATAACTGGAATTGTGGCTTCTAAATTTCTATTAAGTTTAATCACAATTTTTTTTAAATTCATTAAATGAAGTACTTTCTAAAAAAAAAAATACATGACTTTTGACACAGAGTTAAAATAGAAAAGGGAACTACTAAAAAACTAAATAATAAAAATAAATAAATGTTAAAATTTTTTAATTAAATAGGAATTGATAGTTGGCAAGCAAGTAAAAGTTTCACAATTATGCGCATATCCATATATTATATCCGACATTCATTATACTCTAAATGATATTTTGACAATTTAAAAATTCATAAAAAACACTATGAAGTTCTAATAAAGTTGTTAAATAAAATTTTGTCCTCTTCCCATCACAAAGAGACATTAATTGAAGAGACCTATAAAAATTTCAAAAATTTACAATAGACAACATTACAACTAGTAGTGATACTATGACATATCGCAAATTACAATACACATATTTACCTTAAAAAACACACTGGTCACTTGCGCAATGATGCAAAAATTTGTTACATATACATATAAAATCTTCATACAAATGAAGTAATTAAACATTACATTTAATATTTAGTCTCTGTGATTCCTTCAAACTCTGTTTTGGTCAGACCCTATCACATTTTCTGATTTCATAGTTAAGCTTTCTCTTAAAGAAAGGTAATTCATTATATTGAGATCATTAATTTATAAGAGGGGGGAATTAATATAGAAATAGAAAACAAGTTACCCATAAAATTACCAACTATATAGAAAATCAATTAAAGAAAATTAACTTAACAAGAAATGTGCTGAGTTATGCACAAGAAGAGATTTATTTTCTCTGAAATTAAAAATAATTAACAGGAATCGTCACAAAATGGTGCCCAAGGAAAAGCAATAGAACCAAGTTTTGAAAATATCCACTATTTGCAACAACAAAGTGACAATCTGGAATGAAATTAACAGATGCCAGTGCAAATATTTCAGTCAGAAAGGTTTTATATGCAATAAAAAACATTGTTTTGTGGTTTTTCAGTCAGCAATGCCATCTCTTGACAAAATTTGCAATTAATCTCATAATTAGAGATGAATAAATATCTAGTTTCCTAAGCAAACAGCAAAATAACACACTTTTTCCTTTCCTTCTTCTATAGATGATTTTCTAACAGTTGGTCACTTTTGGGATAACTAGTATTAAGGCTGCTTTCACCTAATGTTAAAGTAGCTAAATTCTAAATTCCCATGGCCTATAAGAAATGTATTACAATTATCTTCCAAACTTTATATACCTGAAACTATTGATGTAAAATAACTTATCTGAAAAGTGTCTTGATATGTGTTATTTTAAGAAAGAAAATATTTACAACTAAGAAAGCAAAAACAATTCTTAGAACAAACACAAAAATCATTATAATTTTTTCCCCATTTACAATTTTTACTTTTATTTTTAAATAAAAATTATATATCAAGGCACTGTTTGAGCTTTAAATTGTTGTATGTTCAGCAAAATTTAGTATGTCATTAAACATTTAAAAATTAATTTTAATACATTTATCATAGAAAATATGAATGCAGAATTAGTAGATACTTTAACATTGGATAAAAGCCTTATTCCTAAGCGTTTAGTTAAATAAAAATATTTTCAACAAAATTGATTACATTTTAATAGCAAAAATTTTAATCAAATAAACACTATTCTTTCTATGCTTAAGATACATTTATTGTAATGCTAGAGTTAAGGTAGAAGTATATGAGAAATTTGAGATTTAATGGCACTACATTTCAACCAGCCCAGCTGGAGACTAAGAATAAGAAACAAAAATGCAATAATAGTTACAGTCAATAAAATTAAGGTATCACTACTACATTGACTCAAATTGACATCGGACAAAACAAAACGACATAACACAGCTGATGGTAAACAAAACTTTCAATATTTGTAAATAAATTTATACAACACTTAAAACTATTTTGTAAGTAAAGCAACAAATAATAATTTATAAAGATTTACTTTGATGTATAGAAATAAACAATCATACCTACAGTCTTGTTATTTGAACTACAACACTAAGGGTTTGCAAATGAAGTACGAATCTCTTCACTTCAATTCAATTAGCATCTTATAACAATCGTGAATAGGATAAGCTTTAAGAAAATGGCAACATTGACAACGCTTAAAACTTTTAAAAATTACAAGATGGTCGAAAAATGAGCAGAGCCTTACTGTTTCCCGGAACAAAGGGTACTCTAAGCATTATTACTTTTTTTTTTGTTTCCTTTAACCATTACTCGACATTGACAAAATTTATAGAAAAGTTGCGAGATGTGTACAATGTTCTGATGCAATAATGACAGGTTGCAAAAACGGTCCGGAGGTATCTTGGACAATAACATTTGAAAAGCTTCTGTAGGTTTACAGCTACAGATGGAATGTTGCTACAAAGATTTAATTTTGCGCAAATAAACAAATACCATTTCGTAAAATCAGTTTATAATTTAGGGGTGACATTAAATTTAAGTTAATAAAAAAACATTTTCATTTGAAAAAATGCTACATCATAGGGAGAAAAGATTAAGGACGATATAAACTTTTTTTTCCAAGCCACCCCTATTGATAGAGACTATAGATTGCAGAAAAAGACAGGTGAAATTCTGTTTTATATGCACATCTACAACATCTATAAACATGAAAAAGAGTGCACCACACTAAGTTGCGATGCATGTGCCGGTTGGGAAAGGACAACTCTTCCATAGATCCAAAGTTGATGCCTATAGTAAAATGAACTCATTCCAAATCAGTAACCAACAAAATGAACGAAATGTATACTTAGATGACAATGGCATTTAAGAGTTTGGTTCTGTGCACACAAACGCAGCAACTGCAGCTGATAAGTCCCGAGCCACGCTTGATTTAAAAAGGAAAACACAGTTCCCTTTTTTTTTTCAAAAAATCACGCACACATTCTCATTCAATACATGTAAATTAAATAAGTCCCAACATTAAAAGTTTTCTGCCAACCCAAATGGTAGCTTGCAAAATGTTTCCTTCCTTAATAACATGGTCCTTAGGCGTAGAACTCCTTGTTGCTGCTGCGAGTGTACGAATTTACAGTTGGAGACCGCTTGGGTTCGTCTAGTGCGTAGCTTCCCTCATCCTTTTTTCTCATTCGGTATACTATGAACATGACAAGAAGGATGGCACACAAAAGACCAACAACAGCACCGCCAATCACAGCTGTAAGAAGAACAATGTAACATCAACATAAATAAAAAAGGAAATATATGAAAAATGATTTTTTTAAAAAGTACAACTAGATAATAAATGATTAGACAAAATTTTTCGTTTGATGTCGGTGTTTATGTTACCATGAATGTATGGAGTGGCAGCATTTTATAGAATGTCATTCTACAGAAGGTTGTGCCTATTTAAGCAAAGTATGAAACATTAGAATTATCTTCGTATCTCCTACCTGGTCTAACGAAGTCAGACTGGGTAGAATAAACCTCTGACTTAATGCATGTAGATGGCAAACAGAGGAGATAAGTAGATTTCCCCTCTGCTGAGTCCAAGATATGTTCAGAAGCGGCCTGATGAAGCTAGCATTGGAAAAGGTTTTTACTCTATCAGGGAATTTCAGACACTTCAGGTGACCGCTAGCAAGGCCCAATAGGCAAGTTTGGGTAGATCTGTCTCCCAAAAAGGAAAGAGAGAATCCAACTTCAGTCACCGTGTACCAGTTGTCGATAGGAGGGGGGGCGGTAGTCAGTTTTTCTTCAACAGCAGATTTTTTGATAGAATAAAGTTCCATAAATGTTAATTTGGTGGTATTAGAAGTCTGTTGACAGCAACCATCTTTGGAGAGTTTGTCTGCTATGAGAATTATTTAACCCACTGGCAGTTTTAACATTTTCTTTTTTACTGCCTTAAAATGACTTTTTTCTTTAACCCACTGACGGTTCTGCACGTAAAAAGTCGCATTTTAACCTGCAGTCTTCTCTGCATAGCAAAACCGGTTTTCCCATGTTAATAGATAAGGGAACTGTGTGTAGGGGAGAAACATTCTCCCAATTTTGCCCATTTCCTTAACCGCCAGTGGGTTAAAGATACATGATTGAAGCTAATACCCCCTCCAATCAGAAAACTGGTTCTTCCTCTCCCATTTCTAAATTGGTGGGTGTTTCAATGCACTAAAATAGAGGCTTTTTAAACTTAAAGGATCTCTTACAGGTAGAAAATTTAGTGATATTTTCTACCTGTGCATAACCATTTAGGAGGATTAAAAAAATTAAAATTTTTAAGGCGATAGTTAATTTAAAAATTTAAAAAAGAAAAGTTCACACAATTTTAAATTCATTGTTGCATCATTGGTCATATTTCAATCTATATAGAGATAAAATAGAACAAATAAAAAGAACCAAGTTACGGGTGAAGATTATACTTCTTATGGAAACTACATGATGAGAGTGAGAATTGAAAAATTTAGAAACAGGGAGTGTCTAGGAATCCAAATAAAAACTGTGTAAGACTAAAGAAAAGTTACAGAATGTCTATCATTATTCAATGCCAATGACGACTTCTGCAATATGGTAAATCTATCTTCAATAAATGTTAGAAGAGATATTTTAAAATAAACTTTGCAACAGTATTATAAACTTTCAAATGATATTGAATCTTAAATATGCTAGTAAAAAAATATGCTAATATTTTAAAAACCTTCTGTAAATTAAAAAATGTTGTTACATCTAAATGTCAAATGTGATTCGGTAAAAATATATAAATGTTACAAGGCTGCCAACTACTATGCATTTTGCAAAATATTTCATAGAGTGGTAGACAATTGAAAACTTAAGCTTTCGAGATTTTGGGGAATTTTCCCAACATTTTAAAAGCCTCAACATGAGATCGCTGGAACAGAGTAGCTTTTCATGTGAACTGACGATTCATTTACATGTAGTGGAGTGAAAAATAAGCTTAAATAAAATTTGCAATACAAAGAAACATGCATTAAAACAAATTTAGTTAACATTGAAGACCTGATGTTCAGGTCTTAGAGTATTAGTTAAGTTTAAATTTGAATTTTTTTTTTTTTTAAGTGTACATTCCAGTTAGTAGAATCAGCTGCCATATGAAATCAAATGTTCTCGGAACGGACATGATTTTAATGAGCGGCAGACACTTTAACCTGCTCATTTGAGTGCAGATAGTTGAGAGACCAATCTTATTTCTGTAACTGGGTCTTTCCAAAAGAACACATTTTTTATTTAAAAAAAAATGGGGGAAAGAGGTTTTTCATCGGGAGATGATGGTCTTTAGATATTCAGAACGCTCAGTTGGTTAAGCCTAACATGCAATTGTATATTTTCACATCCAAGACTCTTCCACACACTTGTACATATATCATGCGTGCTTCGATTTCTTTAAAAAAATTGGAAAAGATGAGAAGAAAGGTTTGTGCATATATCATGTGTGCTTCTATTTCTTAAAAAAATTGGAAGAGATGAGAAGAAAGGTTTGTGCATAGATCATGCATGCTTCTATTTCTTAAAAAAATTGGAAGAGATGAGAAGAAAGGTAACTAGTTGTTTAGTTTGCAGTATGCTGCCCCTAGGCTCATTAGTACTTTAGAAATCACCTATTTCAGCATATCGCCCTTTTACAACAAAGTCAAATCTTCTTTAAGTGATAGCCTGTTGCTTTTGAAAACAAACAACACATACATTAAATATGAAAATTGAAAGAATGAGAACCATAAGTTGACATTTATTTAACCCTAAAAAACTAATATAGAATACATTTTGTTAAAGAAAAAATTTATTAAAAAAAACTATTATGAAAAATTTTCATTAAGAAAAACATTTACTGCGATTTTAAATATTGTGCTAGTACATATTTATGAAAAATATTAATAAACATGTCATGTGCAAGGTTTACACAGAATTAATTGTATTTTCCATGCAGATAAAAAAAATTCAATACACAATAGAAAAAGACACTTCACAACAATAAAGGAAGATAAGAAAATTCATTAAAAAAAGATATAATAAGTCACACAAATTTAAAGATATCTTTGATTACTGAAAACTTCAGGCCACAAGCAATGTCCAAGTGATTTTAGAAAGAGAGAAAGAAAGAGAGAGAAAGAGAAGATTTAACGATACAGATAAAAATTCCTAAAATTGATTCGACTTACTTGCTATATATCCAAAACAGGTATGCAAATGTAGCAATGATAAAAAATATTCATATTTAACTTTTAACAATTTATAATTTCATAACATGAAATAAATTAGATTACTTTTTATATTTAGTTCAAAATTTTATATTCTCTTAACATCTTACAAAAGCTATCAAAAATACAATGCTTAAAAGTGTTAATTTGATTAGATTTACTTGTATTTATTTATATAATCTTTCTGTTTTTCACCAAATAATTTTGCTTTCTATCAACACTTTCTACAAAATATTTTGCAATATAGAATTACAATGAACTTTTTTTATTAAAGGAAAAACGTTTTTAAAGAATTTGGACAAACAAAACCTAATTTAAATAGCAAAATTATATGATGTTACAACTAAATGTGATAAACAATTGAGAAACAATTTTATAATACAGCAACAACAAATTGTAAAAAACTAATTATTTTCACAATTAGATATTTTCAGCTTTTATAAAAATAATTTTTTTTAAAAATATGTCTTTAAATTGGTTAACTTAAAAGAAACTCACATGAGAAAATTCTGTTTAATTAAGATTAAAATTTTCCAATTTTTAAAAACTCTTAGGCATTTTAGTTTTGCATATTTTTCAAAAAACTTCCTTGCTTAATATATGCACAATTACTGCTAGAAAACTGCATTAATTTGATCAAATATGAATTCGAACATTTTTATGATTAGTTTTGTGTAATATCAAAGAAAATTTTTTTAACGCTTATTCAAAACACAGTTTTATTCATATCAAACCAATTATAAAAGTGTTTACGTCGAAACTATCTTTAATTGAACAATAATCCGCAAAGATTTAAGTAACATGTAAACATTAAGCAATTAAAAATTATGTTTTTGTAACAAGAACCACAGTTGTTTTCGTCTAAAATCACTCATATTTCTATTAGTAATATAGATGGAGACAAAAAAATTTTCTATGCATTTGGAATTGTTTGAAATTTTGATAAGAGCAATAAATTTTCAATACATTAATCAATTTTTGGATAATGTCATCCCTTTAATAGCATTTATGTTATTCAGTACAATTACTGCAAAACTATAATTATATCTATATTTCGCGATAAGCATTCGCCACCCCGCCAAAAGAGATTAAATCATAAATTGGATGGAAAAAAATGCATTTCAGCTAAAGTTTTGGATGATTATTATTTCTACCGAAAAATATATATAATCCTCAATCCTGAAAAAAAAAAGGTCAAAGGGAATTTTTCTGAACAAATCCTGTATTTTTTAAAAATTTGATTACAATAATTTCCGTTACATACGTCGCATAACCAATTAGAATTATATCATGTCTAGATAATGTAAGATTTTGGAAGCATAAGACAAACAGATTACCATGACAGTTACCGGATCAAGCGATATCGAGTGACAAATCAACATATTCCTATTTCTTTCCCTCAAAGATGACAAAACATTTGCATTTTTCATTCATTGCTTCTTTACTCCTCCCCAACAGCAAAATGACTTTTTATTTGAATTTTATAAAAATAATTCAATTTATAGTAAATTTGTATGTTAGTGTTATTTAAATTACAGTAATTCATATTATTTATTGTATTATGATTTGAAGTTTCTATGTCAAAAAATCGATCATAAGAAATTGTTCAGATTTGTCTTTGGCAAAGAATTTTGAAATTTGGCTAATATTTTTCATACTTGTCGAATTTACTAGCTAATAATATCCATGGTGTGGGCCCTGTACATACTATAATCAAAATTTATCACAATGCCTTAAAAAACAGATATGCATAAAATGTTTTTTCTTTATTTGAATGATTTAACATTGTATCAATATTAATATAATTTAATATTTAGCTAAGTGTAATGAAATTATTAAATAATATAATATTTAATAATTTCATTACACTTAGCAAGGGTGTAAAGGTGGTGTGTCTTTTGTTAAGCCTAGCAAGTTTTAAATATTTAGAGTTTTTACCCATTTTGAAATCGCAAATAACACACAATTTAAAAACAATACCATCCAGTAAATAGGTAAAAAATTTAATGCATACTTAATCTAATGAAAATATGTTTTCATAAATTACGAACACTGAAAGTTATATTTTTAAAAATTAAGAATCTCATTTCTTATGTATGCTATTGGATTACTCATCATATTTGGCACAATAGCCCAGGGTGGGACAAAGCCTTCTGCTGAAACCTTCTCCAGGACAACATATTTCTTGACCTGGACTGCTAGTCTTTTATCCCAAACACTTAAAAAAACGATTCCACGTAATCAAGCTATCGTTGTTCAGCTTTTCTCTTTATTGACTTGTGAGGGGCTTTGAAACAAATTTTTTTTTACTTTCATCCATTCTGACAATATACGCAAACCAGTTCATTCTCTTAATTATAATACTCTTGGTGATATTAGGCTCTTTAAAAATTTCTTAAATTTCAAAGCTATAATTTTGTTTCACACTTCAGATTTCATTTTTTTTTTATAAATTTGGATTAAAGGAAATATAAATGAAACATTTATTCCTAACATTTTGTCCACAGTGCAAAATAGTGTATTAAAAATACTCTTTTGAGATAAATAATTGAATAATTGCAATAATTAACTGTAACAAAATTGTTAATTTTATTAAACTTAGTATATTTCTAATTATTAATATTAAATTAAATATTTTAAAAACTATTTATGTTAACAAGTTCATAAAGCAAATATTTAAAACCAATTTTTAATTTGCAATCAAATTAATATAACTGCAATAATCAAGAAAAGACCAGATCTCACCAGAAAATTTTCTTGTCAAGGGATCATATGAGATCAAATGCCTTTAAGAATCAAATAATATTTTAAAAAGCATCTACCTTATACATTTTATTTCCAATAGATCAAAAAGTTGCTACATATCAGTTAAAAATGTTTAATCTCTTTATTAAAGTGTTTTTGTTTTTAATGTATGGTAGTTTTTTTTAGTATTGGGGATTTTTTTTGGGGGGGGGGGGACTTGAAAACTTTTAAGAATGGGCCTTATTTTAATTTACAAGCATGCTTAAACTACAATGTATGGTTTTCAATGATGTACGTAAACACATACTAGAAAATATATTTTTACACTAAGCATGTTTTTTGTCAACAAATTTTATTTTAACTACCCCAAAAGTCACATATTTACAGAATTTGAATTTTTCTAAATCAATTTGGTGAGAAGTATTCAACCAAGATAAAGCAAAAAACTTTGTGGATGAAGATTAATCTTAAACATACTTTTTATTTTTTTTTTGTCAACTAAAAAAGAACAAATATTTGCTATAATAAGTCATCAAATCTTCTCGCGTTTTAACCATATATAGAAAATAATCACATATAAAATCTATAAATAGTCAACTTATGTGTAGCAGCTACAGAGGATGAGAAATTGCTACGTACCAGCAAGTATTCCAGGCTGACCAAAGAACGAAGTTTGCCTTTCTTCTTGTTTTTGTCCCATGATGTGAACCTCATTACTCTGAGTATTAGAATCTGTGAACTTTGTAGGAGCTACATCAGGTATATTATGCCTGGTAGAGGTTTCATGAGTCACAGGATCAATCGCATCAGGAATCCTGTTCTCTTCATCAGGAAGAGGATACGACTATGAACGGGAAAAAAAAAACAGTATGAACAAAGTGAATGATGCGCAATAACAGGGTGAGCAGCTAAATTTTTCAATAAAAAATAAGCACATTTGAAGCACTCAAAAATATTTTTAAGCACTTTAAAATATATATATATATAATTAGGCAGGGTTGGCAAGTGTTTGACAATTGACAGTTTTATCCGGATTTAACCGTCATGTCCAAAAAAAAAAACTTTAGTTTTGTTAGTTTTGCATGCATAGTTTTTGACAATTGTCACAAATCATGAAATTTTGAATCATAAAACGAATGGAGTTTTCATATGCTAAGGACCGATGGTTCGCCAAAATAGATTGGGGTTAAATAAATTGTGAAAACATTGAATAGAACAATATGAACAGTGTCTTTTTGCATAATATGTGGCAAAAATCAACAGGGTAAAGGGAAAATTAAGCACTTTTCAAAAACACCCAATGAAAAAAGCACCTTTAAGCACTTTTTAAAAACACTATGTACCCGGAATAAGAGTTCCTTTAAATTAACGTGATTACACAAAAGTTTGATGAGGAAACAAAAAAATATTAGGAAAATTTCTACACTAAAAATACAGGGTTTCCCGTAATGACTGCCCTTGTTCCAAACCAGAATTTTTGTCAAGAAGGTTAACGCATTAAAAGTTGCAATAAGGGATCTTATTAAATAAGCTATATTACATTAATACATAGGGAAAACATTAACCCATTAGGGATCTTGCCGAATACATTAGGGGTCACAAATTAATATTTGAGCTAGGAAAAAACGAAATATCAATAAATCATTAGTGACGAAGGAGGTCTCAAAACATCACAAAACCTGCTTGTTACCATAGGAATCACGATGACTCAAAAGAAACACCATCATACTTAATCAGGCAATCAAAATGGTTTTGATGTTTTTTCAATTCCCTCTTCCTCATAAATGATTCAACAAATTTTGATAGTGTTTTTTTGTTTCTACCATGCGATATAAATCTGACACCTTTAGTGGGAATAATTTTTGACAATGGTTCTAAAAATGCAAAATTGAAATATTTTTTAAATCAGTAATCATATTACAATTACATACGTAATTATTACATACGTACATACGTAATTATTAACGTATATACGTAATTATTACATACATATTATATACGTAATTATTAAGTTCATAAAGACTTAAATGGGACTAAAATCTGAAATTTTACGATGTTATAATCCTTTAACTGTCGATAGAATATGAAAGAAATAATTTTTGTAGTTTAATTGATTCATTAGTAGAGCCATAAGTTTTTTTTTTATCATTTAATTTCGGACAATGATTGATTAAAGATTTTAAAAGGTTTTTATTTGTATTTTAAAAATATTTTAAATAAAGTTAAAAGCATTTAAATCAATAAGGTATAAATTTGATTTGAAATCAAAAGATTATGCATACAGTCTTTAACAAGATTTTAATGTGGTAAATATTTGGAGAGCAAAAAGAGATCAGAATGTATAAATTTTCCATTCATTTTATTTATTTAAACTTAAAACTGTTGCTAAATAACTAACCGTTTTGCACAGGGGCAAGTTTATAAACAATCCAATATTTCCTCTTTAAAAAACAAAGGGAAAGAACATCTTTAGGCGTCAGAAATATTCAATTGGTCAAGCAAAAAAAATTTAGTAGTTTAAACTATAAGCTTTGTTAAAATTACAGTTTAAGCAAAACTTTTAGAATTACATGCTCTTTTTCATGTGTATTAAATAACCAAAACATAAATAAGATTACTCATTAATAAGCATAAAGAAGATATAAAGAACAAGAATTCAATGCAAGTAATCTTACAAAAGAAAATTTTTCTGTATTTATAAAAACTTATTAAACAGAATAAAGATCATCCACAAAAAATTTAATTGGCTTTAACAACTTCCTCTGAACTAGACTTAATCGATTCATTAATAGTCAGTCTTCAAAACAAATTATTTTACTTATTGCAGAGTAAAAAAAAAAATTGTCGAACAGAATAAAGAGCAGAGGAGAAAAATTTCTCATTAGTTTTTACCATATTTTACTGAAGTTAAAATGATATATCAATATGCTGGGAATAAAAGTAATTGATTGCATAATAATTTAATAAAGAATCTTTAATTTTGTGTTCATTCTTTCGACTTTTTAAAACTTTGAGCTATTTTCAACTATGTGTATAAACTTAAAAACATTTAACTTTATACATTAACACAATCAGTTTGCCTTTTCAAGAGATCTTAATGCAAATAAATTTTTAATTTGATTATTTAGTCACTGACTAAATTATCAAAATCAAAATTATTTTCTAATAATTAATTTTATTTCTTCATGTTAATTTTATTACTTCAAATTAAACTTTGTACCTTAATTTTTTTTAAAAATATCTTACTATATTAAAATAAATATTTTATTATATTAAATTCATATTCAATAACTCTGAATTGAGATGAATATTTAGTTATTAGTGAGATGTTTTTAATGGTGCCTTTTTTTCTTGCTTCTTATTCTTAGTCTAGGCATTCTTAAAGGTACTTTTTTACTAAATAGAAAGGAAAGGAGATTTTCACTGCTGTTCTTCAATAGTTCGTCTGCTGTGTTATAATACGAAGTTAAATTCAAATTTTAAGATAAATGATAGATTCTATTAAGGTCCTGTCAACGTACTTTTAACCAAACAATTTTTTACAACAAATATTTTTATTTGTTTAAATTTGCAAACATTTTCAATAAAATCGTAAAATTGTTGAAATATTCTAAAGTTGTGCTTAAAGTCTAAGTTGCTAAATGTTAATTTACACATAAGTGAAAAAAGAATTTTAGGTAAAAAAATTTAAGAGTAAGATACAAAACAACTATTTCTGTTAAAAGAAATCTGAGAAGAACTAAATAATCTTTGAAATATTTTTAAAAAAAAAAAAAATTCCAAATTTTTATAACTGCATAGTTTAATATCATTGATATTTCTTCTTAATTTTTGATTTTCTAGATCCAAAGGTTTTAAATGAAAACTTGATATTGCTTAATGGAAATATAAAAAAATATTTTACATTATTCTGAAATAAATATCAATCACATACTCATTTTTGAATAATTTGAAAATATACTTTTATAATTTAAATCAGTAAGATTTGTACCGCACCATTAAAATGCCCTATTTTTTCAATCCATCACATTCTCCATCATTTTGTCTTTTTATTTTAACAACATTGTTGTTTTATATTATTTTTACATAACCCAGAAATGTATTCACATTTTTCATATAAACCTCTAATATTCTCAAAATAAATTTTTCTCAAGATAATTGATTTTTTTCATTTATACAATATACCCAAGGCTTTTCTTTCTTTCTTCCTTTTTTTTTTCCTTCTTTTTTTCCTTTTTTTAAATGACAAAATTTTTTTGTTTACTTTCTATTATCTTAGATTCAAAAATTACATATTTTCATTATCATTTCTTATTGCGTCATATATTCTATTTTGGCTCCTATTGTTGATATAGTAAATCACAAATATAAGCAAAATAATCAGATTGAGATGGATTATTGGACTCGTTAATGGATGAAGGAAGGCGGAGTCATTTTTATACAAGCATTTACCCTTCTCTAAACTAGGAACTTTCTTATCCTTTTTACATCCAGCATAGGAGAAATAGGTAAACAAATTTACTATTTTAAAGAAAAATTATTTATTTTTATTATTATTTCTTATTGCGGCATATATTCCATTTTGGCTCCTATTGTTGATATAGTAAATCACAAATATAAGCAAAATAATCAGATTGAGATGGATTATTGGACTCGTTAATGGATGAAGGAAGGCGGAGTCATTTTTATACAAGCATTTACCCTTCTCTAAACTAGGAACTTTCTTATCCTTTTTACATCCAGCATAGGAGAAATAGGTAAACAAATTTACTATTTTAAAGAAAAATTATTTATTTTTATTATTATTTCTTATTGCGGCATATATTCCATTTTGGCTCCTATTGTTGATATAGTAAATCACAAATATAAACAAAATAATCAGATTGAGATGGATTATTGGACTCGTTAATGGATAAAGGAAAGCGGAGTCATTTTTATACAGGCATTTACCCTTCTCTAAACAAGAAACTTTCTTATCCTTTTTACATCCAGCATAGGAGAAATAAGTAAACAAATTTACTATTTTAAAGAAAAATTATTTATTTTTATTATTATTTCTTATTGCGGCATATATTCCATTTTGGCTCCTATTGTTGATATAGTAAATCACAAATATAAACAAAATAATCAGATTGAGATGGATTATTGGACTCGTTAATGGATAAAGGAAAGCGGAGTCATTTTTATACAGGCATTTACCCTTCTCTAAACAAGAAACTTTCTTATCCTTTTTACATCCAGCATAGGAGAAATAAGTAAACAAATTTACTATTTTAAAGAAAAATTATTTATTTTTATTATTATTTCTTATTGCGGCATATATTCCATTTTGGCTCCTATTGTTGATATAGTAAATCACAAATATAAACAAAATAATCAGATTGAGATGGATTATTGGACTCGTTAATGGATAAAGGAAAGCGGAGTCATTTTTATACAGGCATTTACCCTTCTCTAAACAAGAAACTTTCTTATCCTTTTTACATCCAGCATAGGAGAAATAAGTAAACAAATTTACTATTTTAAAGAAAAATTATTTATTTTTATTATTATTTCTTATTGCGGCATATATTCCATTTTGGCTCCTATTGTTGATATAGTAAATCACAAATATAAACAAAATAATCAGATTGAGATGGATTATTGGACTCGTTAATGGATAAAGGAAAGCGGAGTCATTTTTATACAGGCATTTACCCTTCTCTAAACAAGAAACTTTCTTATCCTTTTTACATCCAGCATAGGAGAAATAAGTAAACAAATTTACTATTTTAAAGAAAAATTATTTATTTTTATTATTATTTCTTATTGCGGCATATATTCCATTTTGGCTCCTATTGTTGATATAGTAAATCACAAATATAAACAAAATAATCAGATTGAGATGGATTATTGGACTCGTTAATGGATAAAGGAAAGCGGAGTCATTTTTATACAGGCATTTACCCTTCTCTAAACAAGAAACTTTCTTATCCTTTTTACATCCAGCATAGGAGAAATAAGTAAACAAATTTACTATTTTAAAGAAAAATTATTTATTTTTATTATTATTTCTTATTGCGGCATATATTCCATTTTGGCTCCTATTGTTGATATAGTAAATCACAAATATAAACAAAATAATCAGATTGAGATGGATTATTGGACTCGTTAATGGATAAAGGAAAGCGGAGTCATTTTTATACAGGCATTTACCCTTCTCTAAACAAGAAACTTTCTTATCCTTTTTACATCCAGCATAGGAGAAATAAGTAAACAAATTTACTATTTTAAAGAAAAATTATTTATTTTTANGCTCAAGGATGCCTTGGTGCAAGAGTGGTTGTGGTGGCCACAACGATTAATAAGGACCTTAGTAAACAGTATGAAATGCAAAAGTGAGATTTGTGTACCTGTTAGAGGTGATCATACACCCTATTAGACATATCTTTCTCTGCCTAACAAAATGTTGGTCAGTTGTTGTGCTGGACAAGTGACCAGTTTCCTTATTTAGGGTACAGATTGTGCACATTTCTGTTTTTACATATATTGGTCTTATATTGGATATTTTGGCCAGGTTTAATTTTATTTGCTTTGATAGCTTTTTCTTATTGCATAAAATTTTTTTTTTTTAAAAACTTTCAAAAAATCATTTGCCCCCTTCAATTGTTTTCACCAGTGTATAACTGCATTTTCACAAATTTTTTGTCTGAAAAAAAAATGAGAAGTTAATACACATGTTTAATTAAATATTAGTAAATTTATCATGATAAGAGTTTTTTCTAACTACAAATTATATAACTTATAATATAAGGTAAAGAGAGGTAATAGACAGTGTTATGAAAAGATTATAGAACAATACAAGCATGGTTAGTAGTAGATCAAGGTGATTAAAAATATAAGAAGAGCAGGATAGAGAATAGAAGAAAGTGTAAGAAATGTTAGATCTTCATTTGTCAGTGCAACAAAATAATACAAAACAAAATACCTTATCTTGCTTTCTTGATTTGGTTGTGCTGCTAGTAGACATAGTGGTTGTTTTAATACCAGGATGATGTTCAATTGGAGATACTTAAAATAATGAAATAATTATGTAAGATTTCAGAAAACACAACAGAACAATGGATGGAGTATGGTATACTTAAGGATGGGATATACTTAGTGCTAATTAGACAAAAACAAACAACATGAATGAAAGTATATAAATGACATACTTCAGTTTCATTCAATAAGCAAGAACCTTCCTCAGTATCAAAACATTTGATGTTTAGACACTGAGAAAGGTTCTTGTTTATAGAACTTAAACTATAGTATGTCGATTTATATACTTTCATTTGGGCTTTATTCATAATAATTTTTGCCTTAGTCAAAAATTATGTAATTAAAGTTTTAAACTTAAGAGTTTCAAATACAACTTAACTAATAAGTTTAAAATAATAAATAGAATATAGAGATTGAATGAAACCAGGGAATGAAAATTTTCTCACAAGCATTAATTTTATACCAAAACCTCTAAAAAAATACTTAAAATCTTTTACAGTGAAATTTTTTAAAATTATTTTTAATTAGAAAAATTAGAAAATTGCTCTTTCACTTTAAAAAAAAATTGAATTAGAAAAAAAAAAATCCAACTTGATACAATTTTAGAAAAGATTAATAAGCATTAAAAACAATAAGTTAATTCTCAATTTAATAATATTTAAAAAATTAAGATTATAAATTATTTCATTAAATAATTCTTGACAGATAATTGAGAAGTCACATAATTTAAAAGTAATTTTAAGCTAATGAACTCATCTTATGTCAAAAATAATCCACTGAGCATTCATAAAACTTATTTAAACTGATTACATTAAAAATTTTATTTCCCGATAGAAAATATATAAGGTCTTCTTATATTGCTCCTTTTTAAATAAAATTTGGATTCAAGTGACAATATAAATACAGAATGTATCTTTCTATCTAAGTGTGCAAATATATATTACACTTTTATATTGATACAATGTTAGAAAGCACTCCTTTTAGGCGATATAATTGTGCGAGTTGATAAAGAGATATCTATTTTTTCTTTTTTCCAGATATTTATTATTATTATATAAAGATATTTTTTTTAAAGTAATTTTTTTCTTCTCGTTTTCCATTATTCGGTAAATTTTTCCATGTTTTCTCTATATTTTGAACTTCATTACTACATTATATATATATGAAGTTCCAAGAATATCGTTAATCATTTCCTTATCACAAAAAAATAAATAAATAAATAAATAAAAAATATTTTAAAAGAAAATACTTCATTAAATTCATAATTATTTCATTAATGAAATGAAAATAATAAACCTTAAAATTTAATAATTTTTAAATCCTTTAAAAAATTTAGTAGCAGTAACAATGATTGTTTAAACTTACTGAATTAAAACACACGCTACTACTACTATTACCAGCTAAAAAAAGTATCAATTAAACTACAATAAAATATTTCACAAGATCAATCCATAATTAATAAGAATATTAATTAGAGGAATTTATCTGTAGTAGAATTGTAAGAAATTTATGAGGCTGCTGTCTCCAAAATTGCATACTAAAAGTAATAAAATATAAAACAAAACAGGATCCACGTGAATATATTCTAATTTGAGAAAAAATTCCTCCTAGATTTAAAATGATTAAAGGACAATGTTATGGTAAATGCAATGCGATTACTAAATATTTGAAGGAGTTATTACATCCGCCAGATCCAGCATCATCATCTTCCTCATCCTCTTCTTCATCATCATCATCATCTGGTCCAAATCCAGAGCCTGGAGCATCTTCATCATCAACTCCTATACCAGAAGAGTGATCTAAGTCTCCAAATTCTTCATCCACAGCACTTCCTTCAATATGATCTTCCTGTTGATATACATAAAATTGAAATTTAGAACAATTTCCACAGATTTCTGTGAAAATGGAATCATTGTCTATTATTTAGCGGCAACTAAAATGTTACTGATGAATAAAATGTTACTGATAAAATTGGCAATAATGAATGTTAAAAAGGACGAGTTACATGAATTGCAAAATTATTAAAGTTAGAGTTTAATTTTTAGATTTGAGGACAAATTCAATTTATATTTAAAATTCCTTTCAAATTACTCTTGAAGATTTTCTTTGGTGCTATAACATTATAACACTATGATAAAGTGAGCTACATAGTTATAGTTTAATCGCACAAGATATACTAATGGACTTTTGGCAACAGTTAAGGATTCACCCTTATTGACAATCCAAAGCAATACTGGAGTGTATGTGCATTAAATGAGGGGAGCTAAGTCCTAGTCGAGCACTAGCTCTTCTGCTGAAAAAAGTTTTCGGCCTCAAGCATCTCTTGGGTATACTGTCAAAAGTGACAAGGTTAATAATTAGCAAAAGGAGATTATGCACCCAAGGTATTTGATTGCAAGTTACCTTTTAGAGAGAAAAACATAAACCAACATAAATAGCTTTTGGTAGCATAACGATATGATGCATACATTATTTTGGACTTTGTTGTTGTTGTTACACATCCCCCTGGAGAAAGAAAGCCTAGAGCAGGTCCAGAAGGCCCCGTAGCGTCAGTTCCCATATGTCTGCAGAAAGTCCCGATCAACCAGCAGCTGCTTAAAAGAAGCGCCAAGGCAAAAAAGAAGATCATCAGGACTGGCAGGTTGAGAGCAGGAACAAGGTTGGAAAGTCCTCTCTCCATTTTGAAACCTTAAACACTCAAGATGGACACTACGAAAACTGGCCATGGCCGATTGGAAAGGCTGAGGACCGCAGCATGCTAATGATAGGCCAGGGCGGTTGCTAGCATACCACTGATGAGATGGAGTTCGGCGCCACACTGGAAGCAAACAATGTTTTCCCAGAGAGTGGATGAATATCAGTGGGAGAAAGACGGTTCAAACAGTCCATAGGAAGATCACAGCCATTATTGGCGAGCACATCGGCTATCTCATTGCCATGTACCCCGACATGTGATGGGATCCATTGGAGGCTTATTGGTGTCTTCAGGCCTATCTCAGATAGTAGCTCGTTCAGTGATTTTGGACTTTTCGCCACAGAAAAAATTTAACTCATTGAAACAGCTAAAGCACATTTAATATTTGCTAAATATTGTCTTACTCACATTTGGAAGCACACCCGCAATATACACTATCTGGAAGAAAGTGACGGACAACTGTGAAGTTTGGTGGAGGAGGATTGATGGTATGATGAATGCCGATGGATACTGTGATATTCTCGACAATCATGTCCTTCCTACCTTGTGGGCAACGTAGGGTATGGATGATTGCTTGTATTAAGAAGACAACGCAGGATCCCATGTTGCAAGGAGGAATCTTGACTGGTATGTGAACAACAACGTTAAACGCATGGAGTGGCCGGCGCAGAGCCCTGATCTTAACCCAATTGAACGTCTCTAGGACGAATTGGACCGTCGGTTGAGGGAATGCACCCCACTCCCCCCAAAAGCAAGCATGAACTATGGAACTTCCTATTAAACATTTGGAAGGAAATTCCTCTTGCCACTATGGCTAATTTAGTGGAAAGCATGCCCAGAAGGGTTGCAGCTGTGATCGCTGCCAAAAGAGGCCCTACCTCCTATTAATTTAATAAATATGGGTTTATGTCCTTACAGTGTCGTGTCCCGTCACTTTCTTCCAAATAGTGTATTTACCACTTTCAAATTAAGCAGTTATAGAAAAAAATTTATAATTCAGATATTAGACGTAAAATGACTTAAAATTTAGCATAACTTATATAAAATACAGGATGATATGATCGGGACATAAATAATATTTCTTATAATTTTGACCTATATCTGACATAATATATCTTAAGCTCAAAAAATCCTGTCCTTGATATAGATTATAAGTCTTTGAGCTCTGACCTTCATAAATAAGCTTGAGCTTATCTCGAATGTGCACTACACTAGTATAATGGAGATAGGAAAGCAAATGGTGGCAATCATATTTTGGTTTTAATAGCATGTAGATTTTTTTGGTTCTGAAACTGCTGGGTTCCAACAAAACCAATACAACAATTGGAGAAAGAACGAACCCAACAAACAATTCGCTTTTACCACTGGGAATTAAATGCTAACCCGAGCCATGGAAGAGAAAGATTGATGAAAGATGAAAGAACTTTAATAACTCTTTAATAAAATAAACCTAGATAACTCCTTAAAATCAGTATTAGTTTTCAGAAGATTATAAAACTCATAAGCTAGGAATTCAAACTGCGATTTGTCTTATATGCAGATAAGCGTTAAATTTTACCTTATGCAAATATTATCTAAAAAGCATATAAGCTTTATATTTTACCTTAACAATCCTTGAAAACACTACGAGAAGGTAACATCGAAACTAATATTAACATCATTCCTGGTGGCAGATTTTACAGAGTAAATTTCCAGCACCATAATCATAAATCCAAATTTGACTGCAACCGCAATGCAGTCAGACAAAGATTTAGATTGAAAAATTCAGCTTAATTTCGCATACAAGTAGCAAAATTTTCAAATATAAGGTCCTGATACTGTTTCTGTTGTTTTAATTTAAGTTGAATTTTATACAACAATGCTAAAAATATAGATTTTAATCTCTATCAGTAATCAGTATTATCTGTAATCAAGTACCAAGTCAGTTCTTCACAATGTTCAAATTTTTAATTTTATTAGAAAAAGTTTTGAGATGTTCTGAGAGAAAATTTCTCTGTTTTTTTTTTGTTTTTTTTTTTTAAAGGAAAACTTCAATAATTTTTTTTTTGCAGAACCTACTAGAAGGTCTATACTACAGGGCCGATACAGAGTACTGAAAGCCACATCAAAAGACAGCTAAGCAAAAGTTCATTTGACGAATTATTATTTATTTAGGATTAAAAAATAATGATCAGTTTGACCTAGAGGTTCCAAAAGTATGTTAGTTTAAACTTGAACATTTGATATGAAATTTTAATCTGCTTGAGATAAAGCTTCCATATCAATAATAAATGTAACATTGGCTATTGATTTTAGCAAATATATTTAAAACCCACACTAGATAATCATAATAAACCTGAATGCGAAAATGAAATTTGTAGATAACTTTTCATCAAAGAAAAGATTTTAACATTAATCCTTATAAAAAGAATTCCTATATGCAGTCTATATTCTAACTCTGTTTTCAATTTAGCTAATTAGCAAATTTTCGAAATATATTGCTAAGCTCTAATACTTATTTACATTTTTAAGTATATTAAGGCCAAATGTACATGGTAAAGTATGTAATGTTATTTAAATGTGTATTGCTTCTTTCAAATTATATACTATAAAAAATCTGTACTACGAACACTTCAAAATATATATGAAAACAAAAATGGCATTATGCAAATACGTCTGATTTTTTTCAAACACTAAAGCTTGTTCAAATACTACCTTTTTTTATCAAAAACTTCTGTCCTGAAAAGTTCATTTAAAAATGCTAAAATAAAAAAGATTAAATGCCGATACATGAAAGACTTGTATACATTAATAGCAAATGTTACATGGAACAAAGAAATAAGCTAAAATATGTATTACAATTTATAGAAAAAAAATCATGAAGAAGTATATTTCTTACACTTTCTTCATATTTACATTTAACAATAACATCAACAAACAATAGAATAGTAAGAATAAATTACATAAATTTAAGTTAATGGCTAATCTAACAAATGAACATATGAACAATTTAAATTTTAACTTACACCTAAGTAAAAAGGCAAAATTTTGATAAAATTTCTCTTTGATACATTTTATTATGCTAAAACATAATTATTTATTCTACCACTCAACCCTTAAACAGAATACAAGATATCTTTTATTTTTGACTAACTTAAAATAAATTTTTGTGCTATATGAGAAACCTAACTGATTAAGATGACTGTTAAAATGTTAGAAGCATTTCATTTCAATTTTCTTTCAAATATACAATCTGCATTTGCCCAATTAAAATTTTTCTGATATTAATCAGATAAATATTAATCATGGAATCATGAAAAAATTGGTTAGTACATTTCTGATCTGAATAATAACCAAAAATAAAATGAAAAATACAACATAAGATAGAGTTTTCTATTTTTATTTTACATTAAAAAAATAAGTGCATTAGAGGTTATTTATTTCATTGTTAAAATGTAGAACTAGAAAGAATTTTAAAATGCATAATCTAACATTGTTAACGGAAATTAATCATTGCTATTATAAATAACTGCAAAAAGATATGTTTTAACAAGTGGAGTCACAAAAAAGAAGGGGCTAATTATTTCAATATTGCTATTATAAAAAACTGCAAAAAGATATATTTTAACAAATGGAGTCACAAAAAGGGTTCTATTTCAATACTAGTAACAACATAAAAATATTGATTTACAATGATTCATTACATATAAGAAATTTTAAATGAATAAATGAAAATACAAATTTTAGAAGCTAATTTAATACAACTTGAGGCTATACCACTCACCGGAGAGTCATTCAAGAAATATAGCTCACTGTCTCCTTGTTTAATGTCAGGATCCTAAAAGACAAAAGCACAAAATTAGAAAAGAATTCGATACAATAACAACTTAACTTTTACCAATAAAATAGGTAATGTGTGTTGAATATATACAAATAAAGTAGCAAAGCATAATAATCATTAAATAAAAACGTGAATGGAGCACAAACGAAAGTGCAGAAATGAACATACTTTAGTTTTGGTTCTGTAAACAAGAACTTCCTTAGTGTTTAACACCAAATGTGTTATTTAGAGTTTCAACGCAGTGAAAGGTTCTTGTTTATACAACCGAAAGTATAGTATGTCCATTTCTACACTTTCATTAGCGCTTCATTCACGTTTTTTTCATTTATTTATTTAGTCTATATATCAAAGCATGTGTTATATCTTTTGCATAATAATTATTATAATTTTAGCTATATCACTTAGACTTAAGATGTGAAAAAAGAAACTAAGATGCAAAATTAACTTCTTGAAGTACAGTCATAAATTTAAGATTTAATAGACAACTCAAAATGATTAATAAACAAAATAAATTAGGAAGAAGTTTTAAAAAATGTTAATTTATGAACTCTATTTTTTTTTATTGAAACAGTACCCTATCACCATAATGAAGGTAGTAGAAACATTTAATAATAAAGTTTAAATTAAATATAAGAAAGTAAAATATGATTTGCACATGAAAATCACAAAGAATTATTTTTAAAAAGAAAAAAAGTATAATATTTTGAGTTTGAATGTAGACAGGATTTAATTACTTTTAAACGCTGATCATAGATGGCGCAACATGCGCAAAAGAAACAAATTTGTTTACATTCCCATTTATGGCAGGGATCAGTGATGTATTGCTTAACTGAGAATTATGAGATTTACAATCTTCATATCTATAAACGGTATGAGAAGCAGAATTTTGTTTTAAAGTAATTATTACTAACATTTGTGCAATATAATAATGATCAAAATGGATAATAACATGGTGACGATAAGTCTTGATAAAACAAATTGTGTTATTCTAATTCTTCCTACATAGATAACATTACTATTCGTACATTTTCATTAGTCCGAAAGCAGAAAAACCTGATTATGCATACATTTGTAATGAATATATGGCACATTACATAATAATTATTTTGATAAAATTCTTTCTTTCAATAGTAGTAAAGTAAATTTATTATTCCTTTAAAACATCAATATGACACTCATGGACAAAGCTAAATAGTTCAAAATCACAATCAATAAACCAAAATCAATCTTAGCAAACATTAAGACAGAAATTATAAATAAAATAGAGAAATAAAAATTAATTTTTCGATTAAAAAAAAAAAAAAAAAAGAGGCTACTAGTAGGTATTTAAATTACATTATATTAGCATGGAAACTATTTAAATTAACTAGAAAGAAAATATGGTCTACTGCCGTGCAAGTATTAAGTCTTTTATTTATTTATTCCCTAACACATTTAAACTATTCGCTTCCTTCTACCTTTATTCATTAGCTATATCATTAATAGTAGCAGTTCTAAAGAAACATTTTATTACGATGGCTGTGTCCATACCATTCATACTAATAAAGTTAAAAAGCCTTTTTTTTAAAACTTTTAAACGCCTCTAATATTGCTAATATTAAATCACATGTAGAGTAAAATGCATACTAGACTAAATGTAAAAATGAATTATATTTATTATGAATTATAAGTAATCTTTTAAATGAACATGAAAAACAATATATGGACTATTGGTAAATATTTAGGTTAAATTCATTCTCAAAATGTTAAATAACAACGAACAAGAATGTAAACAAAAACATATTGTAAGGATATTTTGAGAGTCTTGGGACGTAATCAATTTAAATGGGAATAATCGCCATATGAAATAATTTTAGACTATATAGAACAATTAAATGACGTCATGGATTAGTATTGTGACAGCTATATGAAGCCCAGTATTTCTTTTGACGCGTTAATCTTAACCCTCTGAGCGGCAGATACGAGACACCTGAAAACGAACATTGATTTTCAAAAAAAAAAAAAAAAAAAAAAAAAAAAAAAAAAAAANAAAAAAAAAGTCAACCAATAAAAAAAATTTAAAAACTAATCTTTTACGGTAATCTTCTATAGGCCAAAATGATATGGTCACTGTCGGCCACAGGACGACTCACACTAAAAAATGGCGTTTTAAAAATTTTTTAACATCGCCAACAGATAGCCACTTTTTTCGTTGAAAATGCACCCCATGTGCATTTTATTATATTCTTTTTAATTAATATAGAATTATTATGAATATTTTATAATATTCTGAAAATTACTTAGTTTCACGCTTGTTTATTATGATTTTTCTTCATTTCAGAATTAAATAGTATAATGTTTACCACATTTTAAGAAATTCATCGGATGTAATACCTTACATTAAAGCAAAACAATATACGCCAGTTCTTTACATGGCTGAAACTAGTAATTTAGATATGGCTGAAAATTTTAATAAAAAGTGGCATTAAATTCTAATGGTATTATATTTTAAGTATGAAATTTCAAACTAAAAAGAAATCCATCAGCCAACATTACAAATTATCACAACTCGTTTTACGACAAACTTTCAGCAATTGTATCTTACATTACAATTTCACATTCTTATAAACTATCTTTAAAAAAAGATGAATAAAAAAAATTGCTATATTATTTATTACGCTAACTTATTTACTGAATACTAGAAGATAAAAAAAAAATTAACCCATTTTGCTAATTTATGAAAGATTTCTAACATTATAAAGTTGCATCAATCGAAACCGTATAATCAAGAAAAGAAAAAAATCAATGAAACTACCAGCACAACGTAGTCAAACCACATCTGTCTTCAGTTAATTAACCTTATTCCGATACCAAGCGAAAGTATAGATCGGCATCTTTTTTACTATAACTTATGAATGAGGTCGTTGAAATACTGGCAACAACATACCGGCGTAGTCAAGAAAAGTAAACAAATAAATAATTTAAATAAAAAAATATAGGCCAAATAAATAAATGCGGGTAATCAAAAGTAAGATTGTTGGAAAAAAAAGTGAAAGTATATCGAATAGAGATTGCAAATATTGTTACTTAGTTACAATAAAAATTTCTAATAGTTCAAAATAAAAGAAAACCACTTTGAGCAAAATTTGCATGGATAAATAAATATTGAAGCAGTTGATAATCAAGCTTTAGGCAGGAAGAAAAAATACTAATAGCTTTTACATAACATTATTTCTTCATTTTTCGAAATTTTATTTCATTATTCTCAGTAGGAAAACAGGGGACAAAGTTTCGTATTTTCTTCTACCCCAATTTTATTTCTGAGAAAGAAAAAACTTTTATTTTCTACTAATATTTTCTTCTCATATTTTATACAGTTATTTAATTTTTACCAATAACATAGAAGGCAAGAGGCCCGAAAAAGAATGAACTTTTCAGCTTTAGGGCCTTGCTAAATTATCAACTAAAATGGTTTAAACATACCTCATTTTCTCATCATTAGTTTGTGATTTCTCTAAATCGAGTTTTGTTTGGGGTTCTAAAAAATGTGGAGTCCACTACTTTCAGGCGACCTTAGGTCATCATTTTTATAATAGAAGTACAAACAAAATTTTATTTATATTTTATAACAGGCCCGTTTTTAAGTTTATAGCTATCTATGTTTAACTATAAAACCTTAAAATTTTGATCCCAACCCAGAAGACAAAACTCCTGGATTAAGCATTGAGGGAAACTATCTTATTTGTAGGACATTTAGAGGGAAGCAACCCGCCTTTTCGATACATAGTAAAGAAAATTGCGTAAACATCTCGCGATTAGAACAATTGCAAGAGGATTCTAACCTGTGATCCATCTACCACTTGGGATATTGTAAGTCAGCACTGGTCGTAGTGAGCTGGAAGCAGAATTCGATTTAATCAGTCCTTGCTGGGATTCGAACCTGCGATATCTCATAAGGAGGCGATCGCTCTACCTCTCAGCCATTACGGCTCAACGAAACAAAATTACCAAATTTCCAATGATAGTAATAATTCTAAAAAAAAAAAAAAAGAAAGAAAGAAAGAAAGAAAAATTATCACTTTATTGGGAGTTCTGGAAATACGGGATAGGCCAATTCCATCCCGCGAATGCCCTGCTTTCAGGAAATCAATAGTGTCAGCTACTTCAGCTGAATACGAACGAACCACTAAACGAAATAAGCATTATTCTGAAAATAGAATTCAGTCCTTATAAGGAATATCAGAGTGAAATTTTGTTGTCTAATGAAGGCTGAGCTAATAAGGAGAAACATTTTTAGAGAACAAATAAATGTGTGCGGCATTAATGAACATGCTGCTTTATTAAAAACGCAAGCTATTATTCAAACCTGGTGTAGTGTATGCAACACGCATTAGAGATAATAATTCTTCAAAGTTAATATGCATATACATCGTCTTATTAAGAATGTATACATCGTCTTATTAAGCGGAATCTATTTAAACACAAGCCAACAGTAGGATGACAAATATTTCTCTTCCGAGAGAAATATAATAAAACCACCACTATCATTGAGTAATGAAGTTTTATTCTCAAACTAATTTCTCTTATGAATACTATCAAAAACTATGTCTTTACTTAAAAACGTACAAAATAAGTATTATTTTGCAACACGAAACACCATTCGTAGTTAAACAGAATTTATTAAACGGCGCTTCGGCATTATGAAACAAATCTGCTAGCATCAAAAAGGGCAAAAATAAAAAATCTAGTGAGTATCTTGGGGTTCTTTATCAATAACATTAAGCTCTTACTAGCTCACTTTTTATTTATAAAATCAGCAACAGTTTGACTATCTTTTAATATTAATATTAATTATTTCATAAATTACTCTAGATGACCAATTGTGAAACTAAACCCCCAACACTGTAAAAAAAAAAAATGGATACTCAAATCTGACGAAACTACTTCCTGGCTTATGCTCCGAGCGAACATTGTCAAATTGACGAATCACCACTTTTTCAAGGAAATGAATTTCGTCA